CTGCACCTTGTTACGGGAGCCACGGACGTCTTCAAGGAACTCCCGCAGCTCTTCTCGCAGCGTAGGGGGGGTTGGGGTCACTGGCCCCCGGCTAGCCTCTGGAGGGGCCCCTGACACAGCCTCGTGGCCCACCGAGACAGGCAGGCAAGGGGCGGACCCCCAACGCGGCGCCTGATGGGCTGGCGCCACGAGGCCCGCCTCAAATCCCAGCTCAATAGGGGGCGGCGGAGGGAAGAGAGCAGCCCCTAGTGGGAACGGGGATATACAAAGGCCGGTCCCTGGGGGTCATCCTCTGGGAAACGTAAGGAGTCAGCCCCAGGGGCGGCAATGGCATCACAGGAGGTGGAGAGGAGAAGGATGGAGTTAGCATCAGGGGCAGGGCAGGGATCAAGAGCAGGGACAGGGCCGGGGTCAGGAATAGGGGCAGGGAAAGGGGCGATAGTGGGACCGGGGGCCCCAGCGGCCGGGCCACTGGGGGGTGGCACCCCACGGTTGGGCTCAGGAGTCTTTTGGGTGGGAGGGGAGCCCTCAGTGATGCCGGGCTCATGCTCGAAGGCAGGTGCTGTGGCCATGGCATCTGTAGGTGGACAATCAGCAATGGCCCCCCACCTGGGAAGGGGGTCGGCTGCCCCGCAGCTACAAGGGATTCCCCTGGTGACTCGGGTCCCGGCCGCATGGCACTGGCCGTCGCCTCAAGAGGCTTGGCAGCTTCTGGTGGGGTGCCATCTGTGGCAGGGTTGGTGGGAGAGTCCAGGGGCTCCTTGGAGGCGGGAGCGGAAGCAACGGTTTGGGGGATGGAGCACGGGGAAAGGGGGGTCGGGGTAAGGTCGCCTAGATCGAGGCCCGCTGGCAGAGGGTCGTCCTCCCCTTGGGTGACCGGGGTCAGACCCAGGGCCTCGATCTCCTCGTAGATGGAAGGGAGATCACCTTCCCCCACCCCAAGGTTCTCCTCGCCAGGGCCCAAAGCGATGCTCGCCTTGGGGCTCACAGGGGTGTCAGATGGTAAGGGGGCAGGAGAGGCTCCATCAGCAGCCTCCGTGGGAAGGGACTCCAGTGGAGGGGCGGCACTTCTCTCCGGTGCTGCTACGTCCTCCCCAGCCAGCACTGGTGGATGGAATACACCCGTGGGCAAGGCGGAAGGCTCGGCATTGGTGCCCCCCTTCCTGGTCTTTTGGGTGGCCTCCACATCGGATGGAAGGAGCGACACTTGAGCCTTCCGCTTGCCCCACTTCCCCTGCAATAGGGCCCAACCTTGCATGGTATCATCTGGGGGCTGGCTAGCAGGGGTCGGGTCGGGGGGGCAGGGGCAATGGCTCAGGGACTCGGGGAGGTAGCGGTGGGGCGGCATGAGGGAGGGAAGATTCCCCCTGGGGCGGGCCCCCTCCCACGCCCCCCGGTGGTACCCCCGCCCACCCACCTCCACATGCACTGCCAGATTGCAAGCAGCGGAGGCGGGGCTCTCCCGCTCATCTGGGCGCGCTGGGGGAAAGGTACCCCTTGGGCCCGAGCGGGAGCGGTGGTGGGTTAAGAAGAAGGAGGGGCAGCTCCGGGCAGCCAGCAGCACCGGCGCCCTGCCAGGGTTAGGGGGTCCTGGACACACCTCCGTGCTGGGCCAAGGGGCAGTCCCTCCGGACGTGCCCCATCGCCCAGCAGAGATAGCACCGGGCCTCCCCCGTGGAATAATGCACCCGGTAGCAGGCCCCCTGGTAAGGGACCAGGAAGGACCCCTTGAGCACCTCTCCATCACGTGCCACCGGCGGCAGCTGAAGCTGCACCTGCCGGCGTAACGAGAGGACATGACGGAAGGCGGGGTCTTTGCAGCCCAGCGGGAGAGGGCTAACAACGGAGATGGGTTTCCCCAGGGTAGAGAGGGTGGGCAACAGGGCGGCATTGGGAAGGAAGGGAGGGACAGAGGTCAGGACTATCCGGACACCCAGGTCCTCTAGCGGCTCCAGGGGGACAAACCCCCACCACCACCAGCAGGGCCTTCTCCACCGCCTCCTGGGCAGTGGCCTCTGACACTAGGAAGAAGACGACCTTTCCATACATTTTGGAGGCCGCTACGATGGCCATGGGCCCCACCACCCCCTCCAACACCTGCACATAGGTTTCTACGTGGGGTGAGGCGGGTACCAGGAAGGAACGGACACCATGCTTCCTGGTCAAGGTGGGGAAGGGGCCCCAGCCGCTATAGATGGTAGCGGAGGCAGTGGTCGGAAAAGATGACGTAGCGGCAGGGCACTCGTAGAGCTAGTGGAGGGAGCAGCGGGGAGGGACGCCGGGGCTGGTGGTGGGGCAGCGGGGGCAGCCCCTGCCATAGAGTGCCCAGTCTTTTTGGCAGGGCCCTTACCCTTCTTTTTGCCCTGGCCCTTCCCGCGGGCTGGGGGGGCTCCCCCAGAGTCGGAGGGAGCAAGGGACGTGGCAGCAGCGGAGGTCACCCTGTTGCCTGCTGCTGTCGGCGCCCCAGTGGGGGCGGTAGCAGGTGGTTCGGCAGCGGCTGTTGAGGTGGAAGCCTGAGGGGTTGATGGGGGGCAGGCAGAGGAGGGGCGGCGAGGTCTGCACAAGGGGTCCCACCCACCTCGTCCCCTGCCATAATGAGAGCGGGGGGAGGACAAACACCAGAGGGAGGAGGGGAAAGGGGACAACCACTCCTCCCCGCTAGGCTGCAGGCAGGGGAGGAGGGGCTGGATGGGGAGGGCTGAATCGGGGGGGGGGCTATCAGGACGTGCCAGGGTGTGTGTGTGAGTGTGAGTGAGTCACCAACTCAGGATGGAATTCCAGCTCCTCTAGTTGCACTAGGGGAATAGGGGATAAAACAGCATGGGGGTGAGGGGGGGTGCAGTGAAACAGGGACCAGCTCAAATGGGATGGGCACAAGCACACGGAAGGGGGTATGGGTGCATGAGGGGAGGGGCTAATCAGGGCAAGGGGGGGGCCGCAGGGGGAGGGGAACAACCAGGCTAGGAGTGGGGCAGAGGAACCAAGGGGCTAGCTTCAGGGCTGGGGCAGGGCAAACAAACAAAAGCTATAGAGGGAAACAGGCAAGGCAGACAAACAAACTGAAGCTAGCGAGGGGGGCTGAGGCAAAGGGGAAGGGCAAAAGGCTGTAAGGGGCAAATGGGGCAGGTAGCAAGGGGCAGAGCTGGGGAGGAGGGGGCAGTCAAAGGGGGGGTACATGTGCCTATGTACGCTTGTACAAAGAGTCAATATGGACTGGCTGCTGCTTTTGGCCCAAAAGGTGGTGAAAGGGCGAGGCAAGCCAGGTGAGCAGCCAGTGGGGGTGATGGAGGGGGCAGCGATGACGGTGGTGGGGGTGGGGATTGAGGGGGGAGGACACAGATGGACCAGGGGGCAGGCTCCACACCACACGCCGTGTCCCCACAAACACAGTCTAGATCCCCACCACAAGAGCACAGTTCAAAAGTTACTCAGTCCTTGAGGGCCCCCTCCACGGTGGTCTGTAGAATTTCTACGTGCTCCCCCACTGGTAGATGGTCCTCTTCTTCCTCCTCCCTGAGGCTCCAGCAGCTCCTAGGCAGCAAACACAGCAGCAGCTCCAGGCGCCAGTCCCGCAGCCAGCAGGAAGGACCCCTCTCAGGTGGTGGTGTCCACAGTAGCAGCAACAGCTGGGGTTGGGGTCCCTCACTCCCCTCCTCTGGGAAGCAGGCCAGTAGCCCCCTCCGGGGCTACAGCAGGAGCAGCAACCGAGGGTTGGGGGAAGAGGGTTCACCAGCCAGCAAGCTAGCAAATAGCAGAGAAGGAGGAGGGTGTCTAGCCCAGCCAAGGGAGCAGCGGCAGCAAGAGCCTAGCAGCAGCAGAAATAGCAGCCCTCTCCCTCCTTCCTCTCTCCAGGCCAGAGGACAGCAGGCGAGACAGTAGCCTCAGACAACCTTTCCCTGGGTAACGGGTAGTTCCAGAACAAGCAGGAACTTGCTAGAACCAATTAAGGCAGGCAGGTTAATTAGGACACCAGGAGCCAATTAAGAAGCTCCTAGAATCAATTAGGACAGTCTGGCTAATCAGGGCACCTGGGTTTAAAAAGGACCTCACCTCAGTCAGTGAGGTACATGTGCAAGAGGTATTAGGAGCTGAGAGTAGGACTGAGATGTAAAGTGTTATCAGACACCAGGAGGCAGGTCTTGTGGTGAGGATAAAGAAGGTGTTGGGAGAAGGCCATGGGGAAGTAGTTTAGGGAGTTGTAGCTGTCATGTAGCTGTTACAGGATACATTTTAGACAGCTGCAATCCACAGGGCCCTGGGCTGGAACTCCGAGTAGAGGGCAGGCCTGGGTTCCCCTCAAACCTCCCAACTCCTGATCAGACACAGGAGGAGTTGACCTGGACTGTGGGTTCCACCAGAGAGGAAGGTCTCTGGTCTGTTCCCCGACCCATTAGGTGAATTAGCAGGGACTGCGGGGATTGTTCTTTTCCCTATGCTGGCCGATGATGAGGTTAACTGAGTGAATGGCAGATCTGAGCCACGAAAGTAGCTAAACTGAGGGCTGCCGTGAATCTCTGAGACGAGCAAATCTGCCAATAAGTGCAGGACCCACCAAGGCAGAGGAGGAACTTTGTTACTATATCTATCTATATCTATCTATCTATCTATCTATCTCTATATATATCTTTATGCAGCCCTCCTTCTGCCTTTCTTCTGTGTGATTGTATTCCAAACAATCATCTAGTTAGTATATTGTTTTTATGATAATGCTATTTACTGACATTTAACCTGTACTTTCAACAATACAATGAATAAAAAATGTCTTCTTTCTAGCCCTGCTAACACACACACACACACACACACACACACACAAAATGTATATATTTAAACCGAGCTAAGCAAAGATCTAGATGTTTTTGAAATGCATGAGTTGATTATTGGCTAAGCTTATAGTTTGCTCTACAAAATAACCTTTGGCTGATCGAACAAAGTAGTTCCCTTTGTCACCCAAGCCTGAAGAACTCTATCTTATCAACCAATCACCAGAGCTTTGTGGTGGGAGTAACATACCGAGAGTGCATGCTGCATACTTCTCTGCCAACTCATTAGCTTCCTCAAAAGTCTCATTACTGGTGAATCATGGAGCTGCTTGTAAATGTAAGAAAATGGATAGAAGAAAACAAAGCTGCTTTTTTGCCCCCAGTGTGCAATAAGCTTATGTAAGTAAATGAAGATCTTGTTTTACCTTGCATAATCTCAGGGATAAAAGGAAACTGCTGTAAATTTCATGCAAATGGCAAAGATTAATAAGTATGGATAAAATTGTTCTTCAGGTCTGGCCACAAACTTTTTTTTTAAAGACAGAAAGTGCTTGAAAACTGTTCAATGATTTAAAATAGATGGACTGCTGTGTTAAGCACGTTGCAATCTATGGCCCTGATCCAAAATTCATTGAAGTCTACAGCAGTCTTTCTACTGACTTCAGTGGGCTATGGATTAGGCCTTATGGGAGAAAAAAATCTCATAGGATCACACTCGTGAATTATGAGATTCACCTAATAAATTGCCACTACTTCCCTCCCACTTTGTGTTTCCGGACTTGGTGGTGAAAGCCATCCCAGCCATGAGAGAGGGGCTACTCCTACTATTTTTTGATTGTAATAATGGGGTCATCCTTCACTTCTGGAGCTGAAGGAGTAATCCATGAGACAAGAGGGCAGGGAAGAAGAGGGATGCTTACCACAGCTGTCAGTTGGGGGCTCTGCAAGCTGCTCTGGCCTGATCAGTTTCCTGTCTGTGACTCAGGCTATGTCTACACAAGCACTTTTGTCAGTATAACTTATGTCGCTCAGGGGTGTGAAAAAACACCTCTCTGAGCGACATAAGTTTCACTGACGAAAGCACCGGTGTGGACGCTTGCAGTGTGGCTGTGCCAGGGTCCAGAATTTGGCACCTTCTTCCAATCACAATAATAATTAGTTCTTTTGTCAGTGGAATAAGGCATAATGTGTTTGCTTAGCGTAGCAAGCAGGTGCCTGGGGCAGCCAATGAAGATGAGGGCCGCACGTTCGGTGGCAATTCAGCAGCGGGGCCGTCACTCCCTCTTGGAGCGAAGGACCTGCCGCCGAATTGCCTCCGCAGAATGAAGTGGTGGTAGAGCTGCCGCCCATCGCGATCGCAGCTTTTTTTTTTTTTGCTGCTTGGGGCGGCAAAAATGCTAGAGCCGGCCCTGAAGAAAAGAAGGGCTTCCTTAAAAAGTTTCTTTCCTATCCCTCTTCATGATGTTTTTATATTATAATCCAGTTTTCACATTATATTATGTTCCTTTTATTTTCTGTGATATCTGTTTTAATCAATCAAAAGGAAATTGTAAAAAAACAAAACTTCCAGGAACCCACTTCTCTTTTTTTTTCCTACCCCAAAGGATTCCCTTTGGAAGTTAATGCTTTTCATGACTGTGTGTAAATGTTTGCTTTTCTGAGTAACTATTCCAAGATACAGATTTCACTGAGGATCACTGTGCACATTCCCCCATCTATTGAAAGTACCGTTCTATGTTCTATTGTAGACAGAAAGAAAGACAAAAATGCTAGGCCTGAGTAGATCTCATTGAATGAAAGAGTACAAGAAAGTGTCTTCTGTTTGTGATTTCTTTCATTTGATTATTAGTTTAAAATAAATATTTCAGAATGAATTCTGCTATACTTTTGCAAGGTGTCTTCATTTCTAAGCTTAACAATCGCACCTGTGCTGCGTTGAAGCATTTTGAATATTCCTCTTTTCTGTTCTTCATCAAGAAGAGATATATACTTTGCTGGGTGGCGGATGAAGCTTCCCCTTGTGGAGGCTCAGTCTAGCCCCCTGACACGCCTCTTCTGTCCAAGGCCACGCCCCTGCTCGCTGCTCTCAGCCCCCCGCCCATGGCCTCGGCTGGTGTGGGGTGGGGGGGTCTGAGAACTTGGTTGGGGCCACGGCGTGCAGGGAAGTTGAGAGCTCGGCCCTGGCCAGGGTCAAGCTCTCAGCCCTGGCTGAATCTCCAAGCCCAGAGCCCTTCCCCCATTCTGCCCCTTCCCCTGTGGCTCTGCCCCCTGCTCGCTCCTTCCCCACCTCCGCTGCGGCCCCAAGACTGGAAAAGCTCTGTGCCCCTGCCTCGGCCCCAGGGGTATTACCTGAGTCCATGGTGGGGAGAGATTTTTTTTTTCCTGGGGCCCCCAAATCCACCACTGCCCCTCACCCGGTGGTGTGAGATTTGGGGAGGCTTAGCCTCCCCCAGCCTCAATTACGCACTGCCTATGCCCACTCAACAATACCTTATAGCCCAGGGATTAGGTCCCGCTGCTAGAAAGTGGGAGTACTGGGTTCAACTCCCTGATCCAAATTAGGCAGTGAAGGGATTTGAACCTGCATCTTATACATCCTGTGTCAGGCTCTGACCATTTAAATATAAGGGTTGCTCCAGCTGTACTTTTTGTGGTGTTAGGAATGCAAATATGCCTACTAGATCAGGCTCTGCAGTTGAAATAGGCTAAATGCCACCAGGGCTTAAGCAGCTCAGTGGCATCTGGACTTAGGTGGCTTTGCAGAAATGTAGGTGGAGTTTAAGGACCTCCTCAGTGCTCTTTAAATCATTGGTGCTTTGCAATAAAATGAAATACCTTGATTTCTATGAAGACTAACTACCCTCAGAATTCAGTCATGATGCTCTCACATGCTAACAATATTCTTCCACCTTTTATTTTATAGCCCAGCCCATGCTTTGTCTTAATATTTCATGAGTTGTCAGCTATGCTACTTACAGCTCTGTCAGCACTGCAGTCCTTTGTGCCCTGCAACAAGCAGAATGTTACTATAAGTTCACCAGTGCACCAAAAAAAAAAAACAACCCCTTGGAAATGAACATTAAATCTGCATGATGCAAGTGCTTATGATTTCAGATCCTTATTTTGTGATGCTGGCATAAGCTGAGTATTATAGCGTGTACAGCCTCCTGTTGTGGAAATAGTTGATTTGAATATCATACTTTTATCATTTAATTTGTGTAGCTTTTATTTAAACAAAGGTCAAGGTAGTTATTGTTGTTTAGCATTGTAGTATATTAGGGCCCTATGTTTCATATCACCAAAATGCTCCTTGCAGTAAACAAAATGAAGGTGGCGAAAACAAAACAAAACCACAAAACAAAACATGCATGTTCCAACATCTCAGAAACTCTCCCAACATGACTCTGTTGAAGATGGTTGAGCGTATAGGCATCATTACAACACACTAAGCATTGAGGCCCAGATTCAGTGTGAAGATACTGCTTCTCTATCTCTACGGTAGCTCTGTGTGCCCCTGCTCTCATCCTGGAGTTGCATTCCATGGTAGTGTTGCTCCATTGCTACTGGGCTACCAAGGATTACCCAGCATCCCTGTCATTAGGGGTCGCTGTTGTGTAAGATACTATCTGGGACAGGTAATACCTCTGGCTGCTGACCTGAAGGAAGGGTGAGATCCACACATAAGGGGGTCCCTTCTGCACATGGAACTTGGAGGTACAGTCTGGCCTGAAGGGAACTGCCTGAAGGCTAATTTTGGCATTCAGAGTAGTAGAACTGAGAGAAAAAGTGCTCATCAGAATTCACAAGCATGGCAGAATTAGACAGAGGGCCTGATTCTCCTCTCACTTCCACCACTTTAAAATCAGGTGCAACTTTGGTGAACTCATTCCTGTGACACCATTGTAAGAGTGGTGTAAGTGAGAGGATTCAGGCCCAACATTCATATCAATAGCTTTCAGTAACTTTACTAGCTGTGAAGCATTACGTTTTACTTACAAACTTCTAGTCACATCAGATGATATTGCAATGATAATAATACCTAGCTCTCAGATAGCACGTTTCATCTTTGGATCTCAAACGTGTTACAAAACCCAGGTCTCCTGAATTCCAGTCCAGGGACCTAATCACTTGGTCATATTGCCTAAACTATTTAATAAATTAGTTATTGGCTGTAAAATACTTCTAAATCCTTAGATGAAATATAGAAATGCAAGATATTCTTACTAATCTCTTTAAAATATTTTTTCCAGGCACTGTCAGAAGCTGAATGTGATGTTTGTTGGAGGACCAAACCAAAGGAAGGATTATCATATTGAAGAAGGAGAAGAGGTAACATATAGGACATTTCTGTTTTACTGCTTTTATAGATCTCTAAGATTAAGAAATTTAACTACTGTATAAGTGACACCTGCAAATTACTAATGTCCTGCTTAATTCTATTAAACTGATTAGATGTCGGCAGAAAAAATTGACAGAATAAGCAGTTCCATCAGAATACTTTATGAAATTGGGTCAATTTCATCAGAATTTTCATTAGGAAAAGAATGGAAAAAAAGTTCTAACAATGTCAGAATGTCCCATTGCAATATTTTCAGAATGAAACTTTTTGGTTTTTCATGTTTAAATGATGTTTTGTTTTGAATTTTGTATTTTGTGTTCTAGATTATAATATAATACAACACTTTTTTTTAAAAAAAATATCAAAATCTAAATAAAACATTTTGATCAACCTAAATGGAATTTCCCCCTCAATTTTCCTTTGTGGAGAATTTAAAATTTTTGGTTTGCATTCCGAGTCAGAATGAAAAAAATTCAACATCTGGAATTCCTTCATGAAATGGAATTTCCATCCTTTGCACAGCTCTAGTATTTATGTAATTGGGTTCTGCCTTCTGCTGACAGAAAGCATGCTTTGCACCTTGAGTAGTCATTTGCCCATGTATGGAGTGCAAATAGACCAAATCAAAATGGCAACATCTTACACCCAAACTTGCACTGCTGTAAGCCTGGGATTTTCAACTAAACACAAATGAGCTAGATACAAAACTCCCATTACATTTCAATGGAATTTGACCACCTAATTCCCATAGTATAATGAAAATTTGAAAATGTCAGCCTAAATGACTTCACAAATACAAGGCAGTACAGAATTAGGCCTAGCATTTTTAAAAGACTTTGTGGGGATTTATATACTTACCATGGAAACAATTAATAGAATCATACCTTAGGTGATTTTATATTGTAATAGTAATATACCTTAATTGTACCTGAGGTGAAAAGCACCTGTTATATATTTATAAGCAAATACTGTTGGGGAAACTGAGTGCATTTTTGTCTATAAGAGATAAGATCCTGGTGAAAGAGATAATCACAACTATAGGATGTCAGGTTACAAAACATTTGAAGGAACCTCCAATCGCTATTCTGATGTTATACTACATTATTATTACATATTATTGATAGGGTTGGGTGAAGCTAAAGGAGTTAAGGTTTGGCAAAGCACTGGAGCGATTGTGGTGGGCATAGGTGCTGGAACTAGGGATGCTGGGGGTGCTACTGCACCCCCTTGCTGGAAGTGGTTTCCATCATATACAGTGCAACAGAGGGTCCTGTGGCACCTTTAAGACTAACAGAAGTATTGGGAGCATAAGCTTTCGTGGGTAAGAACCTCACTTCTTCAGATGCAAGTAATGGAAATCTCCAGAGGCAGGTATAAATCAGTATGGAGATAACGAGGTTAGTTCAATCAGGGAGGGTGAGGTGCTCTGCTAGCAGTTGAGGTGTGAACACCAAGGGAGGAGAAACTGTTTCTGTAGTTGGATAGCCATTCACAGTCTTTGCTTAATCCTCATCTGACGGTGTCAAATTTGCAAATGAACTGGAGCTCAGCAGTTTCTCTTTGGAGTCTGGTCCTGACGTTTTTTTGCTGTAAGATGGCTACCTTTACATCTGCTATTGTGTGGCCAGGGAGGTTGAAGTGTTCCCCTACAGGTTTTTGTATATTGCCATTCGTGATATCTGACTTGTGTCCATTTATCCTCTTGCGTAGTGACTGTCCAGTTTGGCCAATGTACATGGCAGAGGGGCATTGCTGGCACATGATGGCATATATAACGTTGGTGGACGTGCAGGTGAATGAGCCGGTGATGTTGTAGCTGATCTGGTTAGGTCCTGTGATGGTGTTGCTGGTGTAGATATGTGGGCAGAGTTGGCATCAAGGTTTGTTGCATGGGTTGGTTCCTGAGTTAGAGTTGTTATGGTGCGGTGCGTGGTTGCTGGTGAGAATATGCTTAAGGTTGGCGGGTTGTCTGTGGGTGAGGACTGGCCTGCCTCCCAAGGTCTGTGAAAGTGAGGGATCATTGTCCAGGATCTGATAAAGTTCTGTGGTGATCTGGAAGCCTACTTTCGCCGCCTCTGACTCAAAGAATACTTTCAAGATAACACTGAACAGCGCACTGATACACAGATACCCTCCCACCAACAACACAGGAAGAAGAACTCCTCATGGACTCCTCCTGAGGGTCGAAATGACAGTCTGGACCTATACATAGAATGCTTCCGCCGACGTGCACAGGCAGAAATTGTGGAAAAACAACATCGCTTGCCTCATAACCTAAGTCGTGCAGAACGCAATGCCATCCACAGCCTCAGAAACCACCCAGACATTATCATCAAAGAGGCTGATAAAGGAGGTGCTGTTGTCATCATGAACAGGTCTGACTACCAGAAGGAGGCTGCCAGACAACTCTCCAATACCAAATTCTACAGGCCACTTTCCTCAGATCCCACTGAGGAATACACTAAGAAACTGCACCATCTACTCAGGACACTCCCTACACTAACACAGGAACAAATCAACATACCCTTAGAGCCCCGACCGGGGTTATTCTATCTACTACCCAAGATCCACAAACCTGGAAATCCTGGACGCCCCATCATCTCGGGCATTGGCACTCCCACTGAAGGACTGTCTGGATATGTGGACTCCCTACTCAGACCCTACGCCACCAGTACTCCCAGCTATCTCCGAGACACCACAGATTTCCTGAGAAAACTACAATGCATTGGTGACCTCCCAGAAAACACCATCCTAGCCACCATGGATGTAGAGGCTCTCTACACAAACATCCCACACACAGATGGAATACAAGCTGTCAGGAACAGTATCCCTGATGATGACACAGCACAACTTATTGCTGAGCTCTGTGACTTTATCCTCACGCACAATTATTTCAAATTTGGTGACAATATATACCTCCAGACCAGTGGCACCGCTATGGGCACCCGCATGGCCCCACAATATGCCAACATTTTTATGGCTGACCTGGAACAACGCTTCCTCAGCTCTCGTCCACTCACACCCCTTCTCTCCCTACGCTACATTGATGACATCTTCATCATCTGGACCCATGGGAAGGAGACCCTGGAAGAATTCCACCATGATTTCAACAGCTTCCACCCCACCATCAACCTCAGCCTGGACCAATCTACACGGGAGGTCCACTTCCTAGACACCACAGTACAAATAAGCGATGGCCACGTTAACACCACCCTATACCAAAAACCCACCGACCGCTACGCCTACCTTCATGCCTCCAGTTTCCACCCCGGACACACCACACGATCCATCGTCTACAGCCAAGCACTGAGGTACAATCGCATCTGCTCCAACCCCTCAGAGAGAGACCAACACCTACAAGATCTTCACCAAGCATTCTCAAAACTACGATACCCACACAAGGAAATAAAGAAACAAATCAACAGAGCCAGACGTGTACCCAGAAGCCTCCTGCTACAAGACAGGCCCAAAAAAGAAACCAACAGAACTCCACTGGCCATCACCTACAGTCCTCAGCTTAAACCTCTCCAACGCATCATCAGTGATCTACAACCCATCCTGGACAATGATCCTTCACTTTCACAGACTTTGGGAGGCAGGCCAGTTCTCGCCCACAGACAACCCACCAACCTTAAGCATATTCTCACCAGCAACCACGCACCGCACCATAACAACTCTAACTCAGGAACCAACCCATGCAACAAACCTCAAAGCCAACTCTGCCCACATATCTACACCAGCAACACCATCACAGGACCTAACCAGATCAGCTACAACATCACCGGCTCATTCACCTGCACGTCCACCAATGTTATATATGCCATCATGTGCCAGCAATGCCCCTCTGCCATGTACATTGGCCAAACTGGACAGTCACTACGCAAGAGGATAAATGGACACAAGTCAGATATCAGGAATGGCAATATACAAAAACCTGTAGGAGAACACTTCAACCTCCCTGGCCACACAATAGCAGATGTAAAGGTAGCCATCTTACAGCAAAAAAACGTCAGGACCAGACTCCAAAGAGAAACTGCTGAGCTCCAGTTCATTTGCAAATTTGACACCATCAGATCAGGATTAAACAAAGACTGTGAATGGCTATCCAACTACAGAAACAGTTTCTCCTCCCTTGGTGTTCACACCTCAACTGCTAGCAGAGCACCTCACCCTCCCTGATTGAACTAACCTCGTTATCTCCATACTGATTTATACCTGCCTCTGGAGATGTCCATTACTTGCATCTGAAGAAGTGAGGTTCTTACCCACGAAAGCTTATGCTCCCAATACTTCTGTTAGTCTTAAAGATGCCACAGGACCCTCTGTTGCTTTTTACAGATTCAGACTAACACGGCTACCCCTCTGATACTTGACATCATATACAGTGTTTACAGTTTGGTTCAATGACTGTCAGTACCCCCACTATACAAATTGTTCCAGCATCCCTGGTGATGGTGTTGCAAAATTAAAACTAATGACCCCAAACCACCCGAATAGGTGACAACTAGGGGTATGCTGTGTGTGTGTGGTGGGGGGGATATTTCTGTTTTGAAGCAGGTTCTTTTGGGGTATTTGGGTGGCTCATTCCATGATGCAATCTACTTCTCTTGTGGAGTGTCCTTGTTTGGTGATGGTGGTTTGAAGTGTGTTCAGGTCTATATCCTGGACTTCCTCCTCAGAGTATGTTCTGTGGTATCTGAGTGCTGGCTTTAGATAACAGATTTCTGGGTGTGTTTGGAGAGGTTACTGGATCTATGAAGGTAGGTGTGGTGATCCATTTGTTTCTTGTATATAGCTGTCTGTAGCGTTCCGTTGTTGAAGTTGATTCTGGTGTCCAGGAAGTTGATGCTAGTGTGGGAGTGTTCCAGATAGTTTAATGGACAGGTGGTGGTTGTTGAAGCTATGGTGGAAATTCATACCCCTAATTGTCACCTACCACCCCACACTGGAACCCATACGAGGTATCCTCCAAGAACTATAACCCATACTC